CCCAGAGTTCCTCAGCCAGCTTTGCTGGCTGAGGAACTCTGGGAGTTGAAGTCCACAAGTCTTAAAGTTGCCAAGGTTGGACACCCCTGCCTTAAAGGGATACAATTAAGAGTAACTTCCTAACTGGTAAGTTTATCAGAAGTAAAAAAGTTAATGTTTATTCTCAGCAGCACTGTTACATCGTTAAAGAACCTTTCAAGATGTTGATACAAACATTGGGCTGCAATTCTTGGACCACACTTTGCAATAAGTTCTCCAAAATGTTACAAAAATAGCATGGGGAAATAAAAAAAATATTTAAAAATGTAAGCTATTGTTTCAGGTTTCCGCCCCCTGAAATTTAAATTAATCTAAAAATGCAGGTTGTGTTCTGAATGCATTCATACTGGAAGATGTTGTCAGTTATGTTACACCTGGCATGCAGGAACAAAAAACTATTTTGGATTTATCTAAAGGATTGGTCGATAAAACCTAACTGGAAAAAAATACTGTACATGGATTTATCTCTGGGTTGTTGATATTGGTAATATTTTAACCTTAATAAAATTGAAATCAACCTTGGTATGTTTTTTTTTTCTTCCTTCAGGGGAAACTGAACACTTTAAAGATGCATTTTTGGGGAATGGAGCCAGTGTCAAAGGATTGCCTCTAGCTTTTTATTCTGGAATGTATGCTTACTCTGGTTGGTAAGTTATACTGCTGATTTACTGAATGGCTTTTGATTAAGAACCTTCTTGCGAAATAAATTCTAACCCATAGAGACATTGCCTGCAGTTTTCCTTTAGTGCCTCTTTGAAGCTAAACATGGGGTGGAAAGAGATCCTGTTCTAGTGAAACTTTTTATATGTGAACTCCGAAACAGGAAGTTTCAGAGACAGATTCCAGAGTTATCTGAAATTTCAGGGTGCCCTAGAAAAGTTCCAAGAAAATGGTCATTATATATGACAATGTTTAATTTCTTTGATTCCATAGGAGGAACCAAGAAAAAAAAGTGGTATCAGGGTTTCAGTACAATAGATAAGATTATACTGATTTCATTTGAATTAGTTTTCCTATGTTAGAGTCTCAATTATACTAGACCATAAGGTGGCTTCTTTAGTTTGAGTTTATAGAATGCTATGAGAATCCTGCCACTAGTAAATGCCTTTGTTTGTTTATAAATTAAGTTCTTTTGATTTAGGCAAGAAATCGTATATAGCTTACTTTGAAATATAATCTATACAAACTTCAAAGTGGCATGCAATAGAACTCTTGTGACATAGCAGATTAGAGGGGTCCTTGGTGCACTCTGAGCTTGCTTGTTCTCTTGCAGACATTTCATTACCCTAACTAGGTAACATCATCAGTGATAGTAAGGAGTGTTTACTTATTTCCAATTTTGTAGTTGGTCCTATACCATAAATCTGGTTAGGCTTCTCCTCCTACACCACATTTATTCCAAACACATATTAAGACAAGCTATTCAAGTAATGTATAGAAATAGTTATAAAAATGATGGCGTTAACAGCAACTTTGTTTTTATAGGTTTTACCTCAATTTTGTAACTGAAGAAGTGGAAAATCCTGAAAGGCATGTATCCACCCCTTCTTAATTTTTTGCAAAATTGTTAAACTTTTAAATTTATATTGCTGGTTAAAAAGTGGGAAAAGGTTAATATACAAATCCTATGTTTTGTTTAAGAATATCTTTTATGATGGTCAGATTGTTTTGTTTTGCAGAGTCTAAACATGTTGTTGCTTCAAACTTTGCTATTTTTGATTTGACTTGTCCTGAGTAATAAGCAAGTAGATCTGTAATCTTCCTTTCAGTAATATGAAATCATTTCAGTGGCTAGGCCCCAAGGGAGAGTTAACATTCTAAATGAAGATTTTGTAACAGATGTTATATCTTGGATATAAGTCAGCCAAGTTGTTTTGTGATTTCATCCTACTAAGACCCAATTTAAATAAGGAAAGACCCTGTGGATAACATTCATACAATTAAACCATTTATGTGCAGACTTAGTATATTAACAATCTGAGTCCTATGAAAATGTTTTGCTAGACTTTTAGCATTGTTTGTAAATTATCCATTGGATACATAAGATTTTTTCAATAAGGACTCCCTTTTTATGATTCTATAATTTCTTAATTTGGGGTAGAGTTGGGATTATAGTGAAAATTTATATGCTTCCATCCACCATGGTTGTCTGATGTTTAAATCTAATTGGGGAACTATTTAAGGATCTTGGAATTGTGATAGAACCTTATTACCAGTCTAATGTAGTAATGTTGTTATGTTTTCTGGAACAGATATAAGTTCAAATTTGGCAACTTGCAATCCCAGAGCTATAGACTGGCTTTCCTCCTTTTTGCAACTCTATAGAACTCTAAAGTTCTATCCAAAACTCACTGGTATTATGGTTGAAAATTAGCAAAATGATTTCATACAACTTTGAAGTAGGGCAACTTGAATATTTAAGATCCCTAAGTGTATTTTGCCTGGTTCAAAACTAGCAAAATTCTTTTCCATTACCTCAAAATTGGAAAAGAAATAGAAAATAATAATAATCCCACCCACATACCAATTTTAATTATTGGCTCATCCGTCAGAAATATTAACTGTGTGCCTGATCCCAGAAAGTTGAAGTCTTGTGATGTAGGCTAAAGTATTATATAGTTGCATGAAGATCCAAGAGCAGCAGGGGCCGTGGTGGGATTCAATTTTTTTTTACTACCAGTTCTGTGGGTATGGCTTGGTGGGAGGGGCAGGGGAAGGATACTGTAAAATCTCCAGTCAGAAGTGGTATTTGCTGGTTGTCCGAACTACTCAAAATTTCTGCTACCGGTTCTCCAGAACTGGTCAGAACCTGCTGAATGCCACTTCTGAGCAGAGGATACTTTTGCCAGGAAAACTTAAGATTTACAAAAGACTACAAAATAATACACAGCATAGCTTTCAAAACTAAATGATAGAAAGTTCTAAAACTCTTCATTTTGCAAGATATTGAAAAAAGCCTGTATCAAGGAGAAAGATGGAAAATATGGCCAGTATGTTTAAGTGTGATCCATATAAACTAGCACACTGAAATGGAGGAAGTCTGTACATGGGCAAATTTGTCTTATTAGACACAGAAATGATAGCAGATTGCATTTTGCTTATTTTCTTGGGGAATGTTGTTGCCATCTGTTTTGCACAGATATGTAATTTTCAAGTTCATTTGAATTGGTTCCAAAGAATGTTTCAAACTTTGGTTATTCAGGCCTAAACAGCAGGCTATTTGCATATTGTCCACTATCAATTCCAGATTTTATTTATTCTGTCAAAGGTGCATGGTGACTCAATACAGATGTAAACTTCTATATAGAAATTGGGGAAGCTCCATCTTTAGCTGTAATCCTTTTGTTTGGAAAAATAAGTACTTGCAAAAATCTGAACAGGATTCAGAGAAAAGAACAGAGAAAGGGAAAATGGTTAGGAACTGCTTTTTCTTGCCACAGAAAGTTAGATCAAAATTAATAGATATAACTTGCAGATAATTTTATTTTATTTAAATAAAAAGAAAAATCCTGTGACAGTAAGATCTTACAACAGTAGAATAGATACAGAATTTATGGTTGTTCCATCTCTAGAGGCTTTGAAACCAAATAATAATTGTGAGTGATTAAACTGATTTTCTTACACAATGCAGAGAATTAGACTGGATGATGCTTACATTGCCCAACAATTTCACAATTGTATAATTATATGAATTATATCTACATATCAAATAAAAAGTGCATGCTACACATTTCTTGGAAGAAAGGTGAAAAAAATGTATTCACATTTTTGCATGGACCTTTTAGCCCAAGTTGGCAAATAGTTTGGAAACAAATTAAAACAAAGATGAAATGTAGAAAATAAGAAACTTGACAACATTAGCATATTTTACAATTATTAACATCTGTATTAATAGAGGGCCAATTGGTGAAGATCTCACCCTCCACCCAGAAGGTTGAGAGTTCAATCTTAGGTAGCAGGAGATATTTTTCTCCTAGGCACAAAGAACAAATATCTGCTGTGAATGTATGGTGTCAGGAAGGGCATCTGATCAGTAAAACACTCAACTGTTAGCTGCTTTGGCATCCAAGAAGTAGACATTGTTTCAGAGTCAAGAAAGGTTGAAGTGTTTGGAAAAAAGCGTTAATCTAAAAGTACCCTAGGATAAAATAATAACTTTTTGTAGACTTTACAATTTTGGGGATCATGCTTATCATGTTGAATAACTGTATAACCTCACTGTGAAAAGATATATACACTAACCAACTAAGCAGCCAATGAATATTTTGGGCTGAGGGGATTAGATTATTGTATTATTGTAGTCTAGCTTGCTTTACTGTGGACCTTTTATTTAAATCTTCTGTCAGAGCAGATGTTCAAGTTCAAAATTGCTGCAGAATTTCTTTCACAGAGGATTTTCCACTTAGAATCAATACTATAGCCATAAATAACATCAGTTCTAGATGTTCTAGATGTAAAATTGGTAATATTTTGTAACAAACTATATATGAAAAATGCTGCCTGGAACATAGAAGTGCATAAAGATTTTGTCTGTCTATGTTTTGCCAGAATAAATGTTTGCTTCAAAATTAGTCACAATTATGTTTCCAGGTGCACTTCATGATGCAGAAGAATGGCGATTCATATTTCTGTCACTGGGTCATGCCCAAACAATAGTAATTACGTTTAATATTGCAATGACTGCATGCTGGGAAATAATTATGTGGCCAAGACTAATATTTGCACCTGAAGAAATAAATCTCTGTAACAGAAGACATATATTGAATTAGAGTTAAGTCATTCAGCTAAGCTGAACCCTTTAAAGATTTATGTACGTAACATCTTTTGAAGCCTCCCATCTCTTTTTTTCCTCCTTTGGTTTGGAGCAAACACTATTTCATTTTGTTACTCAAGTGGTAAAGGATAATTAAGCAGCCATTTAATAAAAACAAGATGATGGAAAAGAATAAGATGGTATAAGAATAATTTAATTAAATAAATTGTACAACAATAATTGATAACCAGTTTGATGTAGCAGTTAAAGGTGTCAGCCAGAAACTTTGAGAGTATGGGTTCTGGTCCAGGAAGAGAGCTGGGTGACTTTGGGTCAGTAATTTTCTCTTAACACTTAGAAGAAAAAACTGGCAAACCACTTCTGAAAACTGCATGGGCTTTTCTAGGCACTTACTAAGAGTTCAGTCAAAGACATAACAACAACAACCTTAATCCAATAAGAATGAAGTACATTCTTGACTTATTGACCATTCGAAGTTACAACAGCATTGAAAAAGTGACTTATGACAGCTTTTCGAACTTATGACCATTGCAGCATCCCCATGGTCATGAGATGATGCATTTATGACAGTTGCAATGTCCTGAGCTCATGTGATCTCATCTGTCTAGCAATGGAAATTTTAGACTCAGTTGTAGATGCATTACCTGTATATAAACTATCAAGCTTTATAATTAGGACATTAAATCCCAACCCAGTAAAACATCCATCTTCTATATATTTTAAAGCATTTTTTAAAATATCTGGGTCAATTAAAATGTGATGTTAGGCTATAAATATAACATCCCAACAAATTGATCTAGATATTCGGTATCAGGAACTGCTTCTAAAGTTTTTAGCTCGGAATGAAAAACATGTAAAGAAAGGAAACAATAATGCTTGAGGGCAACATTCTTTAAAAGTCAGAATGAACAGAAACATAGATATTGCTATGCTAGGAGTTCTGTTAAAGAAATATAGAGCAGAATTCTTTATTTACATATGAAATGGAGCTTTCAGAAGTTTACAAATGATCTGTTTCTGTTGTTAAATAACTTTGAGGCCGTTCTATCAATTTATCATTGTTTAAAAAGTTATACTGTGAAAGTAATGTATTATTGAGATGTATAGTATTTGTAAGCCTGCTCTTGGGTTGATAAATCATGTCTAGTGCCTGTAGAAATCCAAAGAATGAATTGCTTTGTTATAACCTTGAGGGGTCTTAGATTAGTCAGTTTGTCTATTAGACTTACTGCAGTCTACTTCTCACTTCATTTATTCATTCTGTTCTTGAAAGCTGGGATGCTGCAGATTTGTTGCCAGGGTTTTTATGTCATTAGTCATTTTGGAAAAGCAAAATATCAGACTAGCTCCCATAATCTTTTTCATTTAAAAAAACAGGTTTAAATAATATGACTGTCATATTTAATTAATATACTGTCTGCTTCCTATTTATATTAATTAATGCCTGGAAGTCTTAACATCTTTTAATAATATTGACAATATATTAATTTATATAACTTAACACATAGCAAATTCCAACTCTTTCAAAAACTTTGAATGCCATATTCTAATGCATCTAATTAAATCACTAGCTCTCATGATGCCTTAAAGAGCAATCCGGACATACCTAATTGATAATCTAATAATCAATTAGTTATCAAATCTATATGGCTGCACATCTCACATAAGGTGACTTGGTGACATACAATAAATCAATTAAAACAATATAAAAATCAGTTCAATCAGTTATGTAACATCAGTAAAAACAAGATTACAA